ACTAGTATACTTTTACTATCTGTTTCCTCCTGTAACTTATTTAACTTTTCCTTTAAGAATCTGTATGCTATGCCATTTGGTGCATATATGTTGAGTATTGATATTACTTCATTGTCTATGGTTCCTTTTAGCGTTATGTAGATTCCCTGCTTACCCCCTGTTAATTAGGTCTATTTTTGCTTTTGCTTTGTCTGAGATTATGATTGCTACCCCTGCCTTTTTTACTTCAGCTGAAGCATATCAGATTCTGCTCCAGCCCTTTCTTTTAATTCTGCATGTGTCTTTTTGTTTCGAGTACATCAAGTACTTGCATGCCTCTTTTATTTAAGATAATTTCCCCCATTTTTTCTCTCCCTTCCCCCTTTCTCCAGGGCACCCCTCTTTCTCACTTAATCATTTTTTTTCTTACATCATCCCAAAATAATTGACTCACTCCCACATCTTCTTTCTATGCAGAATCCTTCATGTATTATCTTCCCATATGGAAAGGTAAACAGTTTTACCTTTTGAGTCCCATATGATTTCTTTTTCATGCTTACCTTTTAATGTTTCTTTTAAGTCTTACGTTTGAAACTCAAATTTTCTATTCAGCTCTGGTCTTTTCATCAGGAAGCTTGAAAGTCCTCTATTTTGTTATATATCCCTTTTTTTCCCTTGAAGGATTTTACTTAGTTTTGCTGGGTTAAAATTATTCTTAGTTGTAATCCCAATTCTTCTGCCTTCTGGAATATCCTATTCCAAGCTTTCTGCTCCTTTAATGTGGTAGCTAAGCGATCTTGTGTGATCTTTACTGTGGCTCTATGGTATCTGAATGATTGCTTTCTGGCTGTTTGAAGTATTTTCTCCTTTATCTGGGAGCTCTGGAATTTGGCTGTAACATTCCTGGGAGTTTTCATTTTGAGATCTCTTTCAGTGGTGATTGGTGGATTCTTTCAATTTCTATTTCACCTTCTGATTCTAGGCTATCAGAGCAGTTTCTTTTGATAATTTCTTGAAATATGTCTAGGTTTTTTTCTTTGATTATGGCTTTCAGGCAGTCCAGCAATTCCTAAATTATCTCTCCTTGATCTGTTTTCCAGGTCAGTTGTTTTTCCAATAAGATATTTCACACTTTCTTTTATTTCTTCATTCTTTTGACTTTGTTTTATTGTTTCTTGATGTCTCATGCAGTCATTAGCTTCCACTTGCCTAATTCTAATTTTTAAGGAATTATTTTCTTGAGTGAGCTTTTGTACTTCTTTTTTCATTTGGCCAATTCTGCTTTTTAAAGAGTTATTTCTTTCAGCACTTTCTGTGCCTCTACCAAGCAACAGTTTGTTATCTTTTCATAATTTCCTTGCACTGCTCTCATTTCTTTCTCCAATTTTACCTCTACTACTTTTAATTCGATTTTGAAAATAATTTTTTAATCTCATCCAAGAATTCTTATTGGGCTTATGTAGAATTCACATTTTTTAGGCTTTGTTTAAAGCTATTTTGTTATCATTGTCTTCTGAGTTTGTGTCTTAGTCTTCCCTGGCACCATAGTTGTTTTTATGGTCAGGGTTTTATTGTTGTTGTTTGCTCATTTTCTAGCCCATTTCTTGACTTTACCTTTATGGTAAAGTTGGGTTCTCCTCCTGGGTGGGAGCAGTGGGGGCAGGACTGTTCTTAAACTTCAGGCTTTTTGGCACTGCTCTTTTCAGAGCATTTTCTGGAGATCTCCAAGTTTTTAGTGTTTGCAAGATGGTGTGAACCAGGGAGAGTTGTGATCATTGCTCTCCTGGTCTGTGCTCTGGTCCTTACCTAGTAAGGGCTCCTGATCCCTTGGAATTATAATTAATATCTCAGGCTCTTTAGGACCCCTCTTCCCTTGGGTCCAGGAACAATACTGTTCCTCAGGGTACCTGGTCTCTTGAAATAATACTGCCCCTCACTCTTGACTGAAAGTACTCCTCTCAGCCCCTCAACTATGGCCCTGAAGTGGGTATCAGCAACGGAGTTGTCAAACAGCATCTGGTCCTACATCCAGTGCTAGCACAGTGGTACCCTGTAAATCTCTTTCTGACCAGTTGCCAGGTCCCCTTACTGTCTCTGGCTTGCGATTTCCTGAAGCTGCTGCTGCTTCTGTCTCCACCACCTATTCCTACCACTGGTGTTCCATCTATGTGGGCTCCAGGCCAGCGTCCTTTCCTGTGTCATACATCTCTCTTTCCTACTTCCTACATTGTCTTGTGCTGGAAAAATGTCTCACTCTGACCTTTTGCTGGCTCTGACACTCCAGATTTTGATTTGAGAATTTATTTTAAAGTTGCTTAGAGGGGAGTGTTAGGAGAACTCAGCTTTCTCTACTCTGCCATTTTGGCTCTGCCTACGAAAACACTCTTTAACACAACTAAATAAGGACCTAAATAACAGGTGAATATGAATTGCTCCTAGGAAAGGATCACCCAAAAAAACAAAAATGACAATACTACCTAAATTAATTTATCTAAGGTCAATGCCAAAACTACACACCAGAAAATTATTTCAGAGAACTAGAAAACATAACGGGGCAGCTAGGTGATGCAGTGTTTAGAGTGCTAGGCCTGGGGTCAGGAAGCCTCAGACACTACCTCAAGTCACTTCACCTCTGGAATGCCTCAGTTTCTTCAACTGTAAAATGGAATGTAAACTGTAATGTAGAGTACACTTCACCTGTAAAATGTAAAATCCTATCTCCCAGGACTGTTGTGAGGATTGCCTTACGACTCAATGATATTTGCACAGTGCTCTGCACAACGTCTGGCATAAAACAGGTGCTTAATAAATGCTCGTTCTCTATAACAACAGTGTACCGTAGTAACAAGGACTCTGTGTTCTGGCCAGATCAGTGACCAGCCGTCATTACAGAGGACTGATGATGAGGAATGATTCCTGACTACAAAGTGAAGGACCAGGCGTGTGTTTGACCATGGTCAGCAGAGGGCTGGACTGTGCTTATGGACAACAAGGCCTCCCCCCTCCAGTTTTGAGGGGGAGGAGAATTGAGGTGGGAGTAATGAAAAATAAACGATTCTCAATTAAAAAAAAAAAGTAAAAAAAACAACAAAGCCAAATAACGACACGCACGCCAAAACAGGAGCCAAAGCTCCAACAACCAAGTCCAAAGCCTCATCAGGTCCTCAAAGGTCGGCGTCAGGTCCTCCTTACACCAACAAGTTACTCTGCGTTTGTCTTGGGGCCAGATGACTCCACTTCCGTCCCAATCAAGGCTACAGAGAATCACGGAAGTGGGAAGGCTCTTGGCAGCATCGAGCAGAAGCCCGCCCTCTGCCATCCCGTACGAGCGGCCTCCCAGACTCTGCCCGAGCCCCCGGCCCAGCGCCACCCTGCCTGCAGCCCTCCTTGCGCTGGGACAGCTCTGCTGGCCAGGAAGGTTTTCCCAGAAACACCTGAGACTCAGCATGTCCTTCCCAAGCCTTCCCCTCTTCTCTGCTCCTGTTCAGGGAGTCCTTCCAGCGTCCCAGGCCCTTCATCTTGGCATCCCCTCTCGGCCAATGCTTGTCCAGGTGCCGTGCCTCGCGTTCTCACCCCCGCAGCTCCCAGTGCCGGGCGCCTCAGCCACCACAACATCGGCAGCTAACAGGGCTACTTGCCGCCAATCTAGCCAAGTCCCAGTAGGTTCCAGGAAGGGCAGACCTGACCAGGTCACTCCTCTACTCCACTGCCCTCGGTGACTCTCTATCGCTTCTAGAATAAAAGAGCGACTTTTCTTTTTTCTTTTCCTTAGGCAATTGGGGTTAAGTGACTTGCCCAGGGTCACGCAGCTACTAAGTGTCAAGAGTTTGGTCTGAGGCCGGATTTGAATGCAGGTCCTCTTGACTTCAGGGCCGGTGCTCTATCTGCTGCGCCACCTAGCTGCCCCAAGAGTGACTTTTCAAGCCCACTCCAGGAGGCCGCAGCCTCCCACTGGACACTGCTCCTCCAGGGCCCCTTGTCACGCTTCCTCCCCCTCTTGCTGGCCTCCTCCCCTCCCTTTCAGACGCAGCTCAGGCCCCACCTTCTTCTACCAGGGAGCATCCGTCCTCCCAAATGGCCTCCCAGAGACTTGATTTTAATTTTACATTGGTGGCGTGTGCCATCATTCGAACTTAGTCCCACGTGGCTCAGAGACCAGATCTGCTGAATGGTGAACTCGGGACCGTGGTGGTGCTGAGCAGAAAGTCAATCAGATCTGGAGGTGGACGCCAGGAAGGGAAGGGTCTTCCTCTGGGGCCGGTAATCCGGATGCTGCCTCCGTGCTGACCAATCAACAGCTGCCATTTCTCCACATCTTCGTTTGCGCCCTACAGACTGTTTAACTTACAGACGCTCAGGGTCATGGGCCACCCTTCTCAGCTCTGCCTTCTGCTGGACAACTTAATAAACGTCTTCCTAAGTTATTTTGTTCTTGGCCAACAAGAAGAAAGAAAAAAGGTGACAGCGCAGAAGAGAGCCGATGGAAGCATCTGCTGGAAGCATCTGCTGGAGAGGATGATACAAGCAGGGTTTCTCTGTCACGACCCAATTACACTTAACATCTACTGGTCAGGGAAAAATGAATTAAAGAGTAGAAATCCACCATCTCACACACGGTGTTTTGTCCTGTTCTTTGTATCCTGAAATGTTCACATGTTCTGTGTGTGTCCATATCCAGTTCATAAGAAAAAGGAGGTTTTTTTGGTTTTTGTTTTTTTTTTTTGGTGAGGCAATTGGGGTTAAGTGACTTGCCCAGGGTCACACAGTTAGTAAGTGTTATGTGTCTGGGGCCAGATTTGAACTCTGGTCCTCCTGACTTCAGGGCCGGTGCTCTACCACTGTGCCACCTAGCTGCCCCAAGAAGTTTTTCTAAAAAGTGGTAATGGCTCTAGAATTTTTAAAAGGCCATGAGCTATTACACTTGGAGCAAGGCTTCCCTGACCTCAGTCCCTCCTGAGCAACTGGGCCTCGGGGGGCCCCTCTCAGGGGACAGGGCCACGTCCAGGGCCGCTGTGACTCACCGTTCCCGCAGCAGCTGCAGCTGGAAGCGGTTGGCCAGCCTCATCAGCTCTGTCAAGAAGACGTCGTCTTCCTTGAGCTCCAAGTCATCGGTGTAGACCCAACGAAGCAAGGCCATCGTCACCTCGGGGTCGGCATCTGGGTAAGAAGAAGGAGCTCATGAAACCAAGAAGGCCAAAAGCCCTTTGGAGGAGCCTGCTGACGGCGGGGATGGAAGCCACGCCCTGTTCCTGCAGGAAGACATGAGTTCTAATCCGGCGTCAGACACTTGTGGGTGGTGTGACTGGGCAAAACACTCAGCTCTTCTGGACAGAGGGGCACTTTGGGTCAGTAACAGGAGCACCTGCCTCTCAGGCTTGGTAGGATGCTCAAATGAGAAAATATCTGTAAAGCACTTAATTCTGTGACTAGTACACAGTAGGTGCTTAATAAATGCTTGTTCTCTTCCCTCGTTCCCCCATTTTACATATGAAGAAACTGAGGTAGTCACAGGTGAAGTGATTTGTCCTGGGTCACACAGCCAGTAAGTGTCTGAGACAGGATTCAAACTCGAGTTTTCCTGACTCCAAGTTGGGCCCCCTGGCTGCCAAAGAAATAAGCATCACTCTTTTCATACATCCCCACAATCTCAAGGGAAACAAATCCCTTCTCTTCAGACAACTTACACCCCCAGACTTTCAGGGAAATGCTGGTCTGAGAGATGCCAAGGGGCCGGGGGCAGCCTAGCTTCCACCCCTCCCAGCCAGGCCACTGTCCAAGACACAAACTAGGAAAAGTGAACATGTCTGCCCAGCCAGTGGGCTTTTCCATCCCCACCCTGGCTCCTTTGAGGCCCGTTCCATCGGGCTCCTCCTTCTCTCTCCGGTCATCTCCCCGGCTCATTCAGCTCTCCACATCCGCAGATGCAGTCCTGGCCTCTCTCCTGATGTTCACACCAAACATCAACAGCTACTCTTGGCATGTCTCAGCCTGGCTGTCCCAGGGGCACCCCAAACCTGCCCCTCCTCTATTCCGACACTGTCGCCCTCCTGGTAGCTCGGTGCCACCCTGTTCCTGACTCTCCCCCACTCCCCACGGCCAATCTGCTGCCAGACAACACGGGTTTTAACTCCTTATCACCTGCCTTCACTCACACAACCACCCCTCCTCACCGTTCGCCTGGATTGGTGTGACGGCGCTTCTGGGGTGGGTGGGTGGGGTCTCCCTGCTCCACTCAGCCTGCCACAATGACCTCCCTACAGCACTCCAATGGCTCCCTGTAGCCTCCAGGATCAAATACAAAATCCTCTGGAATTTCCAGGTCTTCACCACCTGGCCCTTTCCTCCCGTCCTAGGCTTCTTACACTGTATTCCTCTCCCCCATGCCCAATACACGCATACGCAACAACCCAGCTGCATGGGACCCCTGGCTGTCCATCACACTTGACTCTCCCTCCCTTCCCTGGGCCTGCACAGTCACTGCTGCCCCCAGGCCCAGCACTTTCTCCCTCCTCAACTCCTCCCTCAAGACCCCATCAAATATCACCTTCTGTGGAGTTGGTAGTGCATTCCTCTCTGAGATTAACTTCCATGGACACAGTTTTTATCTCGTGTGTAGGTCACCTCCATCAGAACATAAGCCCCTCAAAGGCAGGTCCTGGTTTTGCTTTTTCTTTGAATCCCCAGGGTTGAAAACAGACCCTTGCATACAATAAGCATTTAATAACTGCCTATTGATTAATGGGCCAGTGATAAACATGTGTTTCTAAGACAGGGGAGCCTTTGGCCATCTCCCCCAACAAGCAAGTCATGTCTGCTGACCGAGGCACTGTCTGTGACGCAAAGGAATAAGGTTGGCCCAATTTCTGCATAAAATGACCAGAACCCACGCCAGCATCTTCTCTATCATCCATGACTCTGCTCTGACCATCCACAGCCACCTGAGTCAGGAATGCCGCCGGCCTGCCACCACTCAAGCTTGGCCAAATACCTAGGGAAGGACAAAACAAGCAGGTCCAAGGGCCCGAGGGCCGCAGGCCTGGGAGGAGGAAGGGGATGAGAAGGGGCCGAGGAGGCTGATGCCTACGGGCTGGACCGCTGGCATGACACAGGGACGGTGGCAAAACCGAGCACCATTCCTCCCCAGGAAGGGGCAGCCTTTCGTGAACTCCCTGTGTAGAGAAGGGAGATGCAGCAGGGTAACCCGTCATTCGGTGCCTCCTCTGGGTAAGGGACAGTGGGCAGCACTGGAAACACAAACAGAGGTTCTGCCCGCCCCGTGGGGCACCCAACTGCTGCTGGACCTGGCTGCTGAAGGAGGGCCCTGGCGAGCCAGCAAGGCATTTCCAGCAGACGCGGCAGGGAGGGATGAGGGACGCTAAGAAGCCAAGGCTGGGAAGGAGAGCCTCCGAGGCAGGCAGTGGGGAGGGGCTGCCCTGCATCTCAGACTGGCTAACAAACAGAGAGGTCCCTCCGTGGATGGACTGGGCACACAGCACACAGAAGCATAATTTGGGGTCTGAAGAGCCCAAAGATGCCAGCAACAGGGGCAAGAAGTCACTGTTCAACAGCAACCGTAGGGAAAACTGCCAAGTGGTCTGGCAGAAACTAGATTTTGACAAATATTCACATCACATACCAAGATAAGGTGAAAACGGGCACATGATTAGACATAAAGGTCGATACTATAAGCAAATTATGGAAACATATGAAAAAATACCTCTCAGGATATGGGAAGAGTTCATGACCCAACAGAAGACAGAGAGGTTCACAAGAGGTGAAATGGACAATCTTGATTATGTGAAATTAAACTGCAGCCATAACTAAAAGGACAGCAGGAACTTGAAGGGAAATTTTTACGGCAAATTTCTCTGAAAAAGCACTTATTTCTCAAATATTTCTCAAATACATAGGGAACTGAGACAAATTCACTAAAAAAAAAAAGTCATTCCCCATGATAAATGGTCAAAGGATATGAATAGGCAGTTTTCAAATAAGGAAAATCAAAGCTATCAATGGTCATTTAAAAAAAAAATTCTCTAAATCACTAATAATTAGAGAAATGCAAATCAAAATAACTCTGAGGTACTGCCTCACATCCATGAGATTAGCTAACATTACAGAACAAGAAAATGACAAATGCTGGAGAAGATGTGGAAAAGCAGGGGCACTATTGGTGGAGTTGTGAAGTAGTCCAGCCATTCTGGAGAACAATTTGGAACTATGCTTAAAGGGCTATCGAAGTGTACAGATGCTTTCAGTAGGCTTTTGCATGAGCAGTGGGCTCCCTGCCTTGTAGATCTCGGCTGGAAGAGAATCAGCACCAGGGGCTTGGCCACACGAGAGGGGCCCAATGGCCTTCAAACCCCCTTCTTCAGCTGGAAGTTCAGCTGGGGAGGGACTGACTTCAACCTGAGGTAAACGGTCAGTGGCCCCAGCATTGACGGATAATGGTCTGTCGAGAGCACCATGGAAGTGTTCAGCCTGTCTCTGCATGCTCGTGTCTCTATCACTGATCAATGTGGCTCCATCAGCACTGAGTAACTGAGATGCACCTCAGGTCTTTGGCCCACCAACAGCCTGCAGGGCATCATAAAAGGGCTTTGAATTGTTACTATCAGCACAAAACTGAATTTCATCGGCCTTCTTACTGAGCCAAGAATCCTGCATCTCTCCAAGCTTCACTTGTACCCTACTTTTGATGGAGTTAGACACGGCCTTCCTAGAGACAGATGAACTACCCTGCTGGTAAACCCTGCGCAGTTCTCGTTTTTCATTTAGCAGCTTCTGAATTTCCTCATCATTTTCATCAAACCAACCTTGAGGTTTGTGAGTATTCTAGCCCAGATGAGTAAATATGGGATCAAGAGATAATGAGAAGTCCAGGAACCCTGAGAGATGGGAGGATGGTATTGACCTCTACAGTAACGAGGAAAGTAGGAAGGTGGGAAAGTTTAGGGGGGAAATGATGAGTGTTGATTTGGCCATACTGAGTGGAAGATGTCTACTGGACATCCACTTTGAGATGGATGGTCAGTGCAGAGCCAGGGGCAGGATAAGTAGATTTGAGAGTCAGTGCCATAGAGAAATAAAATAGTCCAGGCAAGAGATGCAGGGGCCTGAACTAGGGCAGTGGCTGTGTGCACAGAGAATGAGACGGATTCGAGATACGTCACGGACACAGACAAGATGTGACCACTGGCCAGATGTGTGGAAGGTGAATGAGAGTCAGGAGCTGAGGAAGACGAGGAGGCAGTGAGACTGTGAACCGAAGTCAACAGGATCAGGAAGGCTCACTTCTTGAGCGCTTCCTAGACGCAAAGCCCGATGATTTCACGGGGGCCACAACTCCCTCTGCCAGCATAGACTCTGACCTGTCCAAGCTTGAATATCAAGCTCAGGACTGCCCGAGGACCAGAGAGGACAAGTGCAGCCACGTCAGCATTCGAACCTAGCTCTTCCTGATTCCAAGCCCAATATTTTATCCAACATCCCATGATGCCTCTCTCTGTTCAGAAGTTGAGAGAAACGTCTCTAAGACGTAATGAGCAAATCAAAGAAAATTCTGACGCAATGCATTCCCTAGGAGAAAACCTTCAGATTCAGTCTACTCAAATCCTCCGACCTGGCCACCTCACTGTTCACAGCAACACTTCAAGAGGAGCGAGAACCTGTAAATAAGGGGGTGCCCATCGAACCCACGGCTCCAGTGTCTTTTCTCCTCTCGAGCCCATATGGGCTCAGGCCCCAAGGAGGCCTCAGGGAAGAGTCTCCATGCCACCCCCCCAGTCAAAGTATTCATGGCATCCTTTTTGTGACAGCAAAGAACTGGAAACAAAGTCAGTGCTGGAACACAAATGGAAGAAAAGATGACCCGTTCTAAGAAGCAATGGCTGTGACACACACAATGAAGCCGATGAGGAGCCAACACACTCAGCCAATCAACATTTATTAACTGCCTTCTGTGTGCTAGGCACCATGCCCAAAACCACGTAAATGGAAAGAACCAGCACAAAAGCGGCTCCATAGACAGCCGGCCCTCAGCTCAACTCCGCTGGCCCGCTGTCAGGCTGGGCAGCCTCACTAAACATGGGGCTCAGTCATGCTGATCTGTTTTCTTCTTTTTTTTTTGGTCACTTAAAAATATCGTTTGGATGGGAGGGCTCTCCAGGAGAGGAAGACAAGGAGAAGGAATACTGGGGAAATTGTGATAATGTATAAAAAAGACAGTGATGAAAACTTAGTTTAAAAAGTGTTTTAAAGAATGTAGATGTTGCAAAATTACAAAGAACACCCAGGACTCCACAAAGAGCCAGGAGAAGACCCCCCCCACACACTTCTCTGCAGGGGTGGGGGCCCCAGAGGTGGAACACTGCACATATTGTCAGAGTTCTTCAATGCACTGATTGGTTCTGCTCATTTCTTTTCTTCTTTTCAGAAGTGAAATATACGGGAGGGGAAAGATAAGGTGGGCGAGGGATCCAAAAAGGACTTCATGCGACGAAGAATAAAGCAATGAAAGTCTTTTTTTTTTTTTTAACAAAGCCCTCAGAGGCTCTTTTCCTCCTATCCCATCACGCGGCACACAGTAAGTGCTCAATAAATGCTTGGTGACTGACTGCCAGAAGCAGAAGAGGATATGGATGGAGAGGCAGGAGGCAGCACAGTTGTTGGGTGAGTCTGGGTTAGGACGGTGGGAGGGCCTGGGCAATGTGCTAAGCGCTTTACAAATGAATACGAGATCTTAGGAATGCTAAAGAAGGGGCCCTTCCTCACTGCGGCCAGGCCAGGCCTCCCCGTCAGCATCTCCTAGGCGCCTCACTCTGCGTCCCCTCGCCCGCCGCCATCCTCACCACTGCGGAACCTTTCCCTGATCTCCTTGCCTCGCTTTCTCCCAACAAAGCTGCCCAGGGGATTTTCCTTGAATTGCAGGACTGTCGATGTCCCCCTCCCTACCGCTCCAGTGGCCCCCCCTTCCCTCCAGGCCTGCACAGAGTGGCCCATTCCTTCTCAGTCTCCCTGCAGCCGTGGCCCTCTGGGAACCACCCACACCGGGCTCTCTGCTGACTGTCCATCGCCAGTCTCCGTTTCTGGCCCTGGCTGCCCCACGCCTGGAGCGCCGTCCCCTAACTGCCACCTCTCACTTTCTCTGGCCTCCTTTGAAAGACTCGGCTCCTACAGGAGGTCCTTCCCCTCTTCCCAGCTGCCAGTGCCTCTGCTCTGACTGCCTTCCACCCACGACGTCTCTCTTTTATGCACCCGGTGGGCTGCGTGCTGTCTTCCCTCCTAAAATGCTCGCTCCTCGAAGCCCGGGCCCATCTCCACCTTCCTTTGCGCCCAATACTTAATACAGTGCCGTGCACCTCATACATTCACGTGGCCTGAATAACGAGAGAAGATTCGGGAAACCACGAGAGCAGTCCCCAAGCAGCCGAAGTCCCACGTGGAAGAGGGACTAAATCTGCTGTGCTTGGCCCCGAGGGCAGAGCCAGGAGCAGTCGCAGCAGGCGGGAGCAGGGGAGGGAATCAAATTACAGCTGGAAACAATCAGAGTTGGCCAAAAAAGGAATGGGAGAAGCAAAGGCTGGACTGCTGACCACTGTCGGGGGGTGTAGCAGATGGGCTCCGAGAGCTCTTCCAAGTCTGGAATTCTGTGATCTCCTGGAATTACACAGAGGCCAGCCACAGCTCCTCCACATTAACCATTAGAGCAGTCCAAACACAGACTCGGCTCCACTGGAGGCAATCCCCCGCTCCTGGAGCCAGCCTAGGAAGGGCAAGGGAGTGGGTCACTTGTCAGGGAGGCCTAGAGATTGGATAACTGAGGCAGAGGATGGATGAGATGTGGCCAGCACTAAGAGTCTGCAGTGCCTCTGAGCAGAGCAGTCCACACTCATCCCCTGGAAGGGTCCTTCTGAGGCCCACGTGGCTCACAGCCAGCATGGACGGCTGAGAAGGAGCCCGCCAACCCCGCAGTCCCCTCGCACTGCTGCTGGCCCAGGGCCTCCTTTCTTACACGAGGCAGGCTCTGGGAGCCACCAGCCCTGGAAGTTCCTTTGGCCTCAGCAGGGTCTGCTATGCACTGGCCCAGGTGAGGCTCCCAGCCTCCTCGGCCACCTTCTTGAGGCCAAAAGCCGCCCTAGGTGCTGCCAGGAAGGGACTCACCTGAAAGGTCCAGTTCTTCAGTGGAGGCCAGGCTGGTCAGACTCCAATTCTCGCTGCGTGCAGCCAACACAAACTTATGAGCGTTGATGAGCTGATTGCCAACCTTGATCTTCAGGTCACTGGTCAAGGAAAAGAGCCACATAAGCCGAGAGCACAAGACAATCCCCCTAAGTACGGCTGTCTGCAGAAGCACAAGAGGCTGGCTGGCAGGCGGCCTAGAGGACTTTCAGAAGCTACGGATTAAAAATAAATAAATACGACTGAAATAAGGAAGAATGTGGGGCTGACAGGTCTAAATGCTTTGTTTTCTGAATTTTCCTGGGCATCCTTTATTGCTCAATTCTAACTTCATGCCCAACCCAGGCCACAGAAGATGGGCCACTTTCCACGTGTCTTCTACAAGGATGCCCAGAACAGTCAGACTGCACATTAAACCTTGGGATTAACTCATCTCCCCCGCCCCCCCAACAACTTCATACAGAAGGAGATGAATCACTGGTAAGAAGTCAGGAGGAGACGGTCAGGGGCCCTCGAGCAAGTCTAAGACGACTGTAACGATGCAGCCATCCAGGTGGCCTGGGTCAGGGAGGCTTACTCCACCTGGCCAGGCTTTCACCTAAGCCTGGGACTAGAAAGAGTCTGTGAGCAAAGGCAATGACACATAGGGCGTGGAGGACTGGCCTCGGGATCAGGGAGAGTGATGCGCCGATCTGGGGTCCGACTCCTCTTTTGCTCTGTGACTCCTGCCATGAGCCCACAGACAATTAACCTCTCCAAAGCTAAGTTACAAATGATCCGCCATCGGCATAGGGAGAGTTTGAACCAACCAAATCCCTGGTCCAGAACAAAAAGTAAAACGTCAAGGAAGGAGCCTGACAAAATAGCCAAGGGGACAAGAGCCAGGAGAGACCCAGACAGCCCCGTCCCTGCTTCTGTTCCTCGAGGCGCTGATACCTTGCCCCCAGTGCCCACGCCTGGTGAGAGCAGCGTATCTCAGCGCTGTTTTCAGGAGCCCTTTGGCCAGACAGGCCCATAGCAGGGGGCCGAGCCGCATGACCTTCAAGAGAGCCTCACGCCAAGGAAGTGACAAAGGGCGGGGGGGGAGTGTCTGCCACAGCATGGATGGGCACATCTTAGAGCTTCCTTCTACTGTTCTCTCTCTCACTAAGAGCTCTGCTGCAGAAATCACGCCCTATTCTTCTTCTCAAACAAACCCAATTCAGATCCGAAGGCACAGCAAGGCTCCTGGCCCACAAAATTCACAAGTACTGTTTTCTGGATACCTTTTAGAAGTCTGTCGCCCAATAAACCAGGCCAGAAGAAGACACCTGAGCCTCCCAAATGGTAGAAACTCCTGTTCAGTGTGACCGGACATGAATGGAAGTCGTTTTAGAATCAGAGTTCCTGAAGGCTCCCCAAACAGCAAAGACTCTGAGTCACATCCTACCATCAACTTTGAAGAAAAGGAAAAGTCCTCGAATCCCCCAAATTCAGACACATTCTTACTGTCTTGTTTTCAATCATGGTGGAATAATTTTTAATTTTGCCATTTTTACACCAGCATAAATTGATCAATGAATTGCTTTTATGAAATCCGTACGACTCAATCAAAACCATGAGCAGAGGGATCCAGTGGGACCATTCACGCAGAAACGTTTCTGCTTTTACTAGTTCACAAATGCAGAGATTAGAAAACAGCAAAGATGAATTTGTTCATTTCCTTTCATTTCAGAAGTGGTTAGTGTTACTAATGAACTGCTTAATACCACAAAATGAGAATGGAGGATTTACTTTATTACCTGAAGAAGAAATGTGAAAACTTTGAAAAATAAGAAAGATAATTTCAATTTTTTCCTTTTAAAAGTCCAGATGTTGGGATGGTTTTAATGTTTTGTTTTGTTTAAATCAAGGACTTAATATATAATTCTCCAAATGAACATTTTAGTAGGAAAGAAATAACTTAGAATGATATGACTTTAGAACTGGAATTAGGGTAAAAATTGGGCTAAAAATAATTTCATCTAACGCCTTTATTTTAAAATGATGAAAATAAGACCCTGGGGCAGTTAGGTGGTGCAGTGCATAGAGCACCGGCCCTAGAGTCAGGAGGACCCGAGTTCAAATCTGGTCTCAGACACATAACACTCACTAGCTGTGTGACTCTGGGCAAGTCACTTAACCCCAATTGCCTCACCCCCCCCCAAAAAAAAGAGCCCCAGAGAAGGAAGTGATGTGCCCTTGGCCACACAGCACAACGGTATTCTAGAGCCAGGGTTCCTGACTCCTGGGTCGGTGATCTCAGCTCTTGGGGGGAAATTCCTCAGCGTCTCAATCATAGAAACCCATTCCTCACACCTGATCCAGTGGGGTCGACCCCTGGCATCAAGAGGGAGTCTGATCCCCAACGAAAATGACAACAAAGGTGACAAACTTCCCCCAGTGCCCTCTGGGGGCCACAGGCCGAGTCTCCAGCCCCGACTCTAAGCCATTTCTGGACATGACTGCTGGAGGAAGTGGGACGGCTTGACTGCATATCTGCTCCAAGGGTTTTGTTCCCCTCTCTTTTTCTTAATGAGCCAAGGGCAGGTAGGAGGGACAACTAGATTTCTGTTCATTGAAAAAAATTAATTTAATTTACAATTTAAAAATGTAATGGAGAGGAATGGGGGGTGGGGGGGGGCATTTTAAGTGTAAGAAAGAGTGGGAAAAGGCCCAGGGGCCTAACGTACAGGATATGCCCAGGGCCAGGCTTCCAGGTCGGAAAGGTGGGGGGTGGGGGCCTTCACTGCCAGGACAGGAGCATGCCCTTGGCTCAGGAAGCTGCAGGGGGCCACGGAAGACTTGAGGGCAGAGCGGTGGCCAGGCCCCATCAGCAGGACAACTCCCCAGGAGAAGCTGGCTGAGCTTGGCCCGTGCTCTGTCCAACAGCCAACTGCTGAAGGAAGACTCAGGGCTGCTGAACGTGTGGCATGCGGCCTGCTCCAGAGGAGGAGAGAAGGAGGTCGGGCCTCCCCCAGCCCCCAGGCCCCGCGCCCCACTCACCTCCAACCATCTCTGCAGCCCCTTCTGTCATCTCACCTTTACCCAACCCTCCCCTCCCCTCCCCTCCCACTGGCCTGTGGGACCTTTATTAAAGCTGCCTTCCCCCTTGATCTTTCCCCTGCATTCACTCAACAACCAATCCAGCCAGAGCGGGTGGGGAGGTCAGCACAGCACCGGAGGCTCTGCTTGGAGCTGGTGGCACAGTGCCCAGGGAAGGCCTGAGTTCAAATCCAGCCTTGGACACTTACTTCATGTGTGACCCTGGGCAGTCCCTCCTCCTCCTCCATCCAAGGAGAGCAGTCCTTGTCACTGACAGCTCAGCCCCAAGGTTCCTCTGTCCCCCCACCCGGCTCTGTCTTCCTCTCCATCTGGAGTCACCCTCGCGCCCTCTCTGATCTCAGCCCAGTCTTAGCCACTGCCTTGTGTCTGGCTCAGGAATCCCTGCCCTCGTCCCATCACCCGACCCCTCTGCTCCTCCTCACCAGCTGCTGAACAAAGTTCAGTCTGACAACTGGGCCAGCTGGACACGAGACGCCTTCACATTATCGGGTCCCAACCATTCCTCTCCATCCCTCCCCACAGTGTTAGACCTTCTCAGGCCTCCCCCACTCCTCCCTCTCAGCTGAGGGCCAGAAAATCGAGGCCACTGGTCACGGCTCACTGCTCCTCAGTCCCTTTACCTAGACCCCCGCTCATTTCCCCCAGGCTCTGACAAAGAGGTGGCCAAGGTCATCCTCTGCTTCTCCAGCAGACAACCACCTCAATCACAGCCTCTCTCCAGGGCTACTGATGCCTTCAAACCCACAGACCCCCTCCCACCCTTAGAAAAGCCTCCCCTCCCCTCTGAACGTCATCTCCCACCTCTGCTACCTTTCTCGAAAGGAGCAGACTGTTTGAACGGGCCTGATGCCTCCATCCCCTCTCCCGTCACCTAACGCTCTGCCGGCTGGCTTCGCTGCCCGCGAGGCGGAGGCACTGCCCCACCAGCCCTGTGGACAGTGAAGTGGCCTCGCCTCCCTCAGCTCCCTCAGTGTGGGCTGCCACACACTGACCCTGGGGGAGCTGGGAGGCCACTTCTCAGGCCAACTGCTGGCCAGGCCAGGCCATCTTCATCTCATCATGGCGAAGGTAACAGCTAATAATAACAATAGCTTGCATCTGTAGGGCACGTCCTCACGACTACTCTGGGAGGGAGGTGTTATTATGATCCCCATTTCACAGATGAGAAAACTGAGGCTCAGTGACCAGGGTCACATAGCTGGTAAGTGTCCAAAGCAGGATTTGAACTCGGGCCTTCCTGACTACAGGCCCAGAGCTCTGGATGCTAGGGTGTCTAAAATTAGCAGTGCTCCAGGCATATTAGTATGTGGGAATGGGAGAGCCCAGAATGATCAGACTTCACTGGCCCTTCCGCTGACAGCATTAGCATCTGGGGACAACTTATGAAGGGAAAATGATACCCAGGTGCTGAAAAATCCAAGTATTTGTTCAGCACCAGAAGATGCTCAAGAAGCATGATTCTAACAGGGCAAAGCGGCGGGCGGGTGAGTTCTCTCTTCCAAAGACATGGTAGCAGTAACTGTCTTTTAGATAACCAAAATCTGCATGCTGGGAGATGTGTCAGGTTAGTGAAAGCCCAGGATGCAGGCAGGTGGCGCCAGAGGACCCAGAGAGCCAGGCCACGAGCCCAGAAGGGCCGGATTCAAAGCCAGCTTCAGACGCTCACTAACTGGGTGACCCTGGCAGTCCCCTAACCTCTGTCAGCCTCAGTTTCTTCATGTGTCAAATGGGGGAATAACAGCACCTACCTCCCAGGGTTGTTCTGAAGGTAATCTTTATGAGGCACTTAGCAGAGTGCCCGGCACACAGCAGGGGCTTTACAAATGCTATGATACTGATGTCTGGAACCCTGGGAAAGGTTTTACATTCATCCCTGGGGTTCCAGTTCACCTCACCTTTGGTGCAAAGTCTGAATCCTGCAGTCCCCTCTCCCATTAACTGGCTTTCCTCCGTCTGTTGTCTGCAAATGGGCGCTTCAGCTCAACGTCCGGTCCCCTCCCACCTCCCTCCCAGACCTGTGCTCCACGCTCAGTGGGCTGGCTTGCCCTGCCCTCCTTTTTCTTCCTGCTCACCATCCTTGCCTCCTTATCCATTCACCCTTCACAGCCCAGGACTATCCCCCCCTCCCACCCCTGCCCTTCTGAGATCCTTCATAAACCAAGAAAGCCTGTTGCCAGAAGTTAACAAACCATGCAGATGGCAGCCCCCCCATCACACATGCACACACACGGGCACACACACGCTTACATGCATACACACACGCACACACGCGCGCATGCGTACACATGCACCCGCCACACAAGTGTGTGTGCTCTGACACTGCGTGGGCTCTTACTTCGGCTCCTCCCTGGCCTCCTCCACTCTCCCCTCTCTACTGCTCCTTCCTACAGGAAAAGACGCGCTTTCCTTCTGCCGATGTCAGCCCATTCTCTCCCACCCAGAGTAGGCCAGGAGCCATCATTACTGTCTTGTCACCAATCTCTTTCTGTCTCCCTGGCTCCTCCTCTGCTGCCGGCAAAGATCACGTTCTACCTTTTCTACCTTTCCTGGCCTTGCCTCCTTGCAGCCCTGCTAACCGCTCCAGCTTTCATCCCACGTCTCTCCTCCCTGTCCCCAGGCACATCTTCACCACAGTCGTCTACACTTCCCTCCAGGGGCCTGCCCCTTGCAATCTGACTTCCAACTCCATGACACTGTTGACAATTTCTTCACACAGAAGTCAGCAGACCACCGGCCTTCTCCTCCTCGACTTCTCTGAGGCCCTCCACAGCAGACTCCTCCCTTGTCTTCCACGACCACGAGCGCCCCGGTTCTTCGTCTCTCTCGTTCCTTCGCCGGATCGCTGCCTCCTGCGCACCCCCATGACTTTGTCCTGCTCTCTTTTCTCCTCTCCAGGCAATCTCACCAGCTCCCCTGAGTCCAAGTTCGCCCTCACAAGCAGAAGCCCCAAGTCTCCACGACCAGCCTGATCCCTCCCCAGAGAGGCATTGCCCCCAACATGCGAGGCCTACGACCACCTCAAAGCCAAACATCTGCTCATCTCCCCACTTAAATCTGACCTTCCTGTCATCTTTCTGATCACCCAAGCTCCATACCCTGGAATCTTCTTTCATCTTTCTCTCTTTCTCCCTTGTCAGACCAAATAATGATCAAGAAATCAAATGAGAAACTACCGAAAATGATTTCTTTAACGCCAGAACTGTCAGCCACTCGATAAGCATTTATTAAGCATCTCACTATGTGCCAGCAATTAGACTAAGGACCAGGGATACAAAGGCAAAAGACAGTCCCTGCTCTCCCGGAGCTCCCAAACTAATGGAGAAGATAATAGCAAACAAACAGGTATGAAAGAGACAGGCTAAAGAGGAAAGAATGAACAGAGAGAAGGCAGTCAAATTAAGAGGGCCAGGAAGGCTTCTTGGGCCAGGAGAGCCAGGCAGGGGGACAGCCAGTGCCAATGCTCAGAGGGAATCGCTCTGCACAAAAATGCAGCCAGAAGCCCAAGGGCCAATCCAGATGCGTTATGGCCAAAATCCCGAGATCCCACATCACAGAAAAGATGGAGCAAATACACAGAAAGAAGCAGTTGGCGTGAGCGTGCGACTTCTCACCGACGCGTGCTACCGAGCGTCTGGACAGAAACAGCAAATAGAGAGTAAACCAGAGGCCTGACACAGAGGTCAGTTAGGCCGTCAGGCAGTCATGAAACCTGTGCTGAGGACCTACCGGGTACCAGGCAGTGTGCTCAGCAACGGGGATACAAAGAAAGGCAAAAGACAGTCCCTGCTCCCCTGGCACTCACGAAAAACCAACAAATACATACAAACAAAACACGTACAGGAAATACGTACAGGAAAAAGCTGGAAACGAAGAGAGGAAAGACCCTGGAACTAAGGAAGCGGGGGCAAAGGCTTCCTGCAGAAGGTGGGCCTTTAGTTCGAACTTAAAGGAGGCTGCGGAAGCCAAGAGGAGGACAGGAGGGAGAACAGCCCGGGCACAGGGGAAGGCCAGAGATCTGTCCAAAGCCGAGAGACGGAGGGTCTCGTTTGGGAACAGCCAGGAGGCCAGTGCCCCTGCACTGAGGGGTGTGTGCCAGGGAGTAAGGCACGAGAAGACTGCAAGGGAGGAGGGGGCCAGGCTGGGAAGAGTCTTGGAATGCCATCGTGGAGGCCACAGGGAGTCGCTGGAGTTTACTGATGTGACTGGGTAGGAAAATCACTGTGGTGGCTGAACTGAGGATGTCCTGGAGTCGGGAGAGACCTGAGGCAGGCCAATCCTAGTCTGAGACACAGATTCTGGAGAGTTCAAGGGCAGGATGTGTACGATGCTACGGGCCACAATTCTACAAGGAAAGTCAGGTCCAGAAAGTCGGGAAAGTCTTGAGAATGGAGACCTGAAGACAAGAGAAAGTAAGGAGAGGAGCTGCCCAGGGAAACCCCCGCACCAGCAAGGCTTTGAAGAAGCTTGGGTCGTGCGGGCATCACGCCCCGAGGGCTCACGCTCACAGGGGGCTGAATGGCCACGAGAAAGGGTTCGCGTTTGCTTTGGAAGGCCCACTGCTCCAGATCCACGGGGCCAGGACAGCTGACCAGAGAGGCGAGGCCGGGCGGCTCTGCCCTCATCAGGCTCCTCCGTGGCCCATCTCCGTACAGTCCGGCCCTTTGGACGAGAAAGGGCAGAGCAAAAATGGCAAACGGGGAATGGAGAGGAAGAGCGTCAGCCGGTCCAAAGGAACAGCCCGGGGGACTGGAAGCGGTGGCAGACGGGACGGCTGAGCCATGGCCAGCGATCTCTGCAGATGCGCCCCGGGGCTGGAGAAAGGCAGATGCCGGCCTAGCTTGGAGAAGAAAAAAGAAGGGGGGAGAGGAGAGAAGGGGAGAGAATGGAATCTGCCACGTTTTCAAATAAGTGATTAAAGAGCTGGCTGGGGAATACGGAGGAAGAGAAGCCAAGATCTCAGAAGTCTAGCCCGGCTCCACCTGCCCAGGGACTGCCCACCCCAGTCTAACCTGATTTCCTCTTGGGTGAGGGGAATGTCATACGTGCACTTTACCCACATTTTATCAATTTTTTGACAACGTATCTTGTGTTCTTCTGGTGGGAAAGATAAGAGAGACCTGGACAGCACAATACACAGGAGAGCTGGATGGATTCAGGACTGACTACATGGTGAGACTCTGGAAGGAGGTCTCCAATGGAGGGCCCCAGGGATCTGTAACCAGCCCAGTACTGTCTTACCCTTTCCCACGGCCTGGTTATTATGAGTGTCCACCTGTCCTCCTAAGACTGTTTGCTGGCATCCTTTGGGCACTAGTCTACTATAAACTAGGAGGGCTGAACTAATGACCTTTAGGACCTGTGGCCTAGGATCCTCCCAGCAACCCACTTCAGGGACTTGGGGTCTGGCCTGACCAAGACAGAATCAATCAGCTGCCAAATCCAGCTGGTTCTTCCTGGGACGGCTCATAAATCCAGCTCCTCGGCAACTCGAGCACTGAAATTCTGCCTCTTCCGGGTTCTAGTCTCCTAGTTGGCCTTCCTTTTTCTGGTCCATCCCCCAGAGTCAGATCTCCACTCCAGGAACCAAGGACAGCACCATAACCTTGCCGTGTCTCTGGCGCTATCGAGGATACCAACTCTGCCACTCAAAGGCCTTTCTCACGTGGCTCTAACCTCACTGTCCAGCCTCCTTTCACACGATCCCAGGACTTCCTGCCCAAGACTCTCAGCTTCTGCTGCCCTCTATCCCCCGCCGGCTCCCATCTCCAACCTTTGCTGATCCCATCTCCCCGTTTCAGAAATGGCCTCTCCTCACTCCCACCGCTCCCACCTCTCCCTTCAGACAATTCCTCCAGCAGACGCCACCTCCTCCAGGACCTCAGCCTCTTCAGACGTTGCACAGTCCATGACCCAAGTCTCCCCTCTGTCCTTTCTCATCCTCCTTGGGTCACACTTATTTAGCCTTCCTTCCTCTAAGACTCCCACTCCCATATTTACTTGTAATAATATAACAGGAGCTGACATTTACATAGCAAAATTTGCAAAAAGCACTTGACATACACAATTTCATTTGAGACTCACAATAAACCAGTCAAGTAAGGTGCTACTGTTATCCCCATCTTACAGATGAGAAAACTGAGGTTAAATGAGTACCCAGAGCCAGACAGAAAGTATCTGAGGCAGGACTTGAACTCAGCTCTTCTGACTCCTCGTTCAGTGTTCTGTCCCACTGGGCCGCCAGCTGCCTCTAGTGTCCTTGAGAGCAGACCTATGCTCAATAACATGAAACAAGCATCTACTGAGTAAGTAGGATAGCGTGCTGGGGACACAATGACAAAACGCACCACTCCCTGCACTCGAAGCTCTGAAGTGCTCCTGGGGGGTCGCGCCAGAGGAGCCATTACAGGAGGACCTAGCATAGGAGGTAGCACCTCCACAGAGCCCCGAGAGGCCTGCATCGCTCAAGTACAAAGGCACAAGCGGGGGAAAAGACTCAAGTGCAGGAAGCAGTCAGCAAAGCTTTCTGGCCGAAAATGCCGGCCTCGCCTAGAAAGGGAGGGGGAGCCTGGCTGGGGGCTCGAAGGTCAAGCTGACCCATCTCTGTTTCTCCTTAGAAACAAGAAGAGTCACTGAAGACTTCTGAACAGTGAAACAAACCGTGCTGGGTCAAAGTGGGTCTGCTGAGCACCCGCTGAAATGTTTCTTAACTGCTTTCGTGAAGGGGTGGCAGGAGTGATCCTGGGAACGAGGCGGCGGCCGGCCGGGGCCCACTCACCTGTACCGCTCCTGCTCGTAGAGGTCAGCCACGATCCTCAGCAAACGCGTGATGAAGCAGTCGCCGCTGCCTTCCTGGTGGGCCTGCGCGGCCAGGAGGCGACACTTCTTCTCCGTCTCGGCCAGCCTCTTCTGCAGCTTCACGTACTCCTGTCGCAGAAGCATCAGATGCTTCTCCAACTTGGCCACCTCCTCTGTAAAGGGCGCCAAAAAGCAGAGTGAGGAGCGGGGCGGGAAGGAGGGCAGCTCGTAGGCTGACGTCACCTCTGGTGTGCTCACTGCACACACAGAGACGTGTATTCACACGCTCCCCCACACACACATGCACATTCTGACACCCGCACAGGTGCATGCGTCTTGTTTTAAAATGTCCTTGTCTGCGGCAGCTAGGTGGAGCAGAGGACTCGAGTTCAAATCTGGCCTCCGACCAAACACTTGACACTTACTAGCTGTGTGACCCTGGGCAAGTCACTTAACACCAATGGCCTAAAATAAATAAATAAATGAATGAATTAATCAACGAATGAAAATAATAAAATAAAATGTTCTTGTCCCCTACCACACCATCAGTCTATGGCAGGTTTGGCTGAGAACACTGCTGAAAGAAACCCACTCATGGATCAGGACCTACCGGTGTCTCAGTTTCAAGAAAGCACCATGTATATGTGTATGAGTGCGCACGCACACACACACCAAGAAAAATCCAATTCTTTCTACTAAGATTTTTGTCAGCTGAGCCTCTGTAGACACAGGCACATCCAGGAATTAGCAAAAATGAGACTTCTTTTTTTCTGGACTTTCCCAGAAAAATCCTCTCCCACAGCTTCAGTTTATAGGGAGTGACCATCATTAAAACCCTCTGTAAATGCCTCCGAGCACTGTCTGTCTGACTCTCCCTGGTCCCACACCCAGCTGCACAGGTCCACATTGCTGGGAAGGAATAGTCCAGAAAGATGCTTGGACACCGCTGAGCTCCCCTGCGTCCCCTCCCACAGCCAGAAGGGTCATGCTCATGCTTCTCCCCAGTGACAGGAGGGACTCAGGGGTTCACACTGAGGCCCCTTCCAGGGCATCCAAAGTACAACAGCAGCTCTTTCTACCACCTAAATCAAACCACTGCAAAAAACACTTGCCCAGAGCAAAGGGTTCTGAACTAGAATGACATTAGACAGTCCTTCCAAGCCCTGCCTTTTATACATCTGCTGAGCTCCCCAAACATGATTTTCTTCTCCAGGTTTCAAGAGGGGGAAAGGGCATGGGCATTTCCTGAGGGCTTTTTAAGTGCCAGGCACTGTGCTGCCTGCTTTACAAAGGTCTCACAAGATAACCTGCATATAAAACCTCCAGAGAATCCCACAATTTCCTTTCATGGCCAGCACTCAGCAGGAGCCTTGCAGACAATGAGAAATTCAAAATCAATGTGCGAGAATCTGCCCCAACTTCCTCAACAGACAGAAAAAAAAAATTGGGGGAGACACTAAAGTTTTGAAAAAGCTGACTGGAGAACAAAAGGTCTGGAATAGGATGAGGAACAGAGTTGGCCCTTTGCACAATTGCTTGTGAGAATTAGAACAAGGTCGCAACCCTTTTGTTAATTTATGAAGACCACAGAACCCCTGGGAAGACATGTATCAACTGAATGCAAAGTGAAGAGAGCAGAGCCGGAAGAACCCTCTGTACAGCAACAATATCGTAGAGATCCTCAGCTTTGAAACACTTAGGAAGGCCGAACCACACAACGAGCCTCTACAATTCCAAAGGACTCAGGAAGAAACATGCTGCCCACCTCCCGAGAGACAGCAGATGGAAGCAGACTTTCTTTTCTCCTTTCTTTCTTTTTTTGGATATGGCTAATGCAAGAATTGATTCTGTATCACTCTATGTATGTGAAATGGGGAGGGGAGGGAGAGGGAGAAAATTCGGAACTGGAAATAAAAATGAATTTTTAAAAATGCACATTAAGACCAAATTATGTTACACTATAAAATAATTCCCAACGATGTGCTGAATATTAGGAGCCTTGTGCCCTCCACATCAGCCCAAGCAGGCTTTCCAAGGGTTAACCCGAATTAGTCCAGAAAGCCTCATCCCCAGTAGGCCGGCCACTTAAAAAGGAAAGCTTTGGCCACAACGCTGTGGCCTTCCAGCGCGGTCCTGGCAGAACAGCAAGAAAAGGAGGGAGACCGGGGCCAAGAGCCTCTCAGCTCTCAGACCCTCCTGAAACACTCATTTCCTGGGTGACATGCTCAATGCGCGATCCCCTCCTCCAAAGACCGGCCAGTGGGGCACGCTCCAGGAGGGATGAACTCTATCAATCTGGTTATTCTTGCCACAAAGGAAACCAGAAGAACGTGACTCTTCTGGCTGTGGGAGGGGACGCAGGGGAGCTCAGCGGTGTCCAAGCATCTTTCTGGACTATTCCTTCCCAGCAATGTGGACCTGTGCAGCTGGGTGTGGGACCAGGGAGAGTCAGACAGACAGTGCTCGGAGGCATTTACAGAGGGTTTTAATGATGGTCACTCCCTATAAACTGAAGCTGTGGGAGAGGATTTTTCTGGGAAAGTCCAGAAAAAAAGAAGTCTCATTTTTGCTAATTCCTGGATGTGCCTGTGTCTACAGAGGCTCAGCTGACAAAAACCTTAGTAGAAAGAACTGGATTTTTCTTGGTGTGTGTGTGTGTGTGTGCGTGCGCGCATGTGTGCACGCACTCAGACACATATATACATGGTGATTTCTTGAAACTCAGACACCGGTAGGTCCTGATAAGCCAAACCTGGGCGCGGACCGACAGCGTGTTAGAGGACAAGGACGTTTGAAAGCAACATATACCTGGACACACCCAGGTGAGAAGGGGCAAGACTTGGTGAGAAACACGCTGAAATATGGATGAGAAGAACAAAGACTAAGAAAGGACAGAGATTCGTAGATGCCACAGACGCCTCTCCAAGGGAGAAAAGGGAAGATGTGGGATGCTGAGTAAAGACCAGGAAGCCAAAGAGGAAACGTCCAGGAAATGGTAAGGCCAAGAGCTCACAATCCAGCTACAGGGCTCCTGACCCCAAAGCTGCTGTAGGGGGAGAATCAGAGGGCAAAGATCAAGGAGAGGAAGGCATGGAAGCCAAGTCCTCCAAGAGCATCGGGACCCATGTCAGCATGCCAGGCATCACCCAGAATAAAGCAGACTCCAAGAACTCCACAGAGAAGCCACAGCAGGGAGACCCCAAGAGCCTGGAGAGGGGGGAAAGGAAGAGGCACCTGTATCGCTCCTGCCCCGGGCCAGGCACTGGGCTCAACGCAAAGATGGCGCATGAGGAGGGAGCAGGAGAACCCAGCCCTCACGTCTGAGCCACTCCAACAGAGCGCAGAAAAGATGTGAGCGAGTCATACCCCCGGGGCTACATCAGCACGGGCACGGAAGCCCTCCTTCTTTCCCTCCTTCCTCCACCCTGCTAACATCACACTAGGAGGACCGGGTTCAAGTACGGGCATCGTGTTTAGAAAAGATGATGCTACGCTGTCTAATCACGGGAGGCCACCACGGTGGTGAGACCAGGAACGTTTGGCCTGACAAAAAGGCTCAGGGGGACCTGGACAGCTGCCTTCAAGCCCCTGAAAGGTGATCATGTGGAGAAGGGACATGGCTTGCTCTGGCTGACACCCTCACCCCCACCCCCAGCAGAATCAAGAGCAACAGGGGCAGGGGCGGGGGTGGAGCATGCCAAGAGGCAAACTTAGGATCCACATCAGGAAAAACCTGCTAAGAGTTCGAGCTGTCCACAAGTGGGGAGCGGGCTGCCACAGTTTCTCACTGGAACAAATATTTAAGAACAAGGGCCATTCCCCAATGGACAAATGGTCAAAGGATGTGAATGGCATGACTCAATGACCTTTTCTCAATCCTCAAAGGCCTGTCTACAGCTCTCCTCGATCCTTCCTTCTCTCCTAGTTCTTCTCTGACCACCACTGACCTCTCTGACCACGGCTCCTTCTCAGAGGGAAGAAGGAGAAAATGCAGATTTGAGAATATAATGAAAGTTACTTTACAAAAAAGATATGAATAGGCAGTTCTCAAGGGAAGAAAGGCAAACTGTCAACAACCATATAATTATGCTCCAGATCGCCAATAAGAAAAATGCAAATTAAAACAACTCTCAATGTTCACTTCACCTCCACCCGACTGGCAAAGATGGCAAATGTCATGTGCTGAAGGGACCTGTTTCCCCCAGGAGAATGCAAGCACCTTGAGGGCAGGCATTATTTCAGTTACACCTGTGTCCGCCCTGAGTGGCGCACAGTGCCTGACACAGAGCAGGTGGAGCTGAACTGAACACCCTGCCATGGAGTGCCGCCTTCCTCCTCTATGGCTATCTATCCCTGTCCAGGTCCCCAGTGCCAAGGTCTCAACTCAGGGCCTTCAGAAGAAAGTGGGGGTCCTTCCCCTGATCAGCTCCTCTGACTATTTCTCTGCACAGCTCTGAAGTCAAGTTGAGAAACACTGGGCCAAGGACGAGGAAGGCAGAGACAGTCCCTGCCCTCAGAGAGCTCACAATCTGAAGTCACTCCCACGCTGCCCACACTTCTCAGGGCATCTGTCTCTCATCCAAGCTCCAAGGGATCCCCAACAATCGATCCAGCTAAAGCACCACCATGCTTGGAGGGTGCCAAGAATGAAAGGAAGTTCTGTCCACCAAAGCCCTTGCACCAAAGATTCAACTTCTAGGGCAGCCAGGTGGCGCAGTGCATAGAGTACTGGCCTTGGAGTCAGGAGGACCCAAGTTCAAATGCGGCCTCAGACACATAACACTTACTAGCTGTGTGACTCTGGGCAAGTCACTTAACCCCGATTGCCTCCACCAAAAAAAAAAAAAAAAAAGATTCAACTTCTAAAATGACACCACGTCTTTCTGCAGACCACCCTGGGCCTTGCTGACACAATCAAAGCTAAATTTTCCTGGGGAAGGTGAGGGGGAGAGGAGTCACCCCACAAGGGTGTGAACTCCTGAGGCCCAAGGAACCCCGGGCTTTACTGTATTCTCAAATCAGAGTACAGGCTAAGTAGTTTCCCATTTCCTCATTCGCTCACTCTGCACCACCACCACCACACTTGGTTACTAGTGGTATGAGAAGGCAATGGGATAATGTGGAAAGGACACTTTTCTTTCTCAGACCAGAACACAGAACTCTGAAGTCAGAGATCCTGGGTTGGAATCCTGGCTCTATTCATTGTTACATGAGTGACATTGAGAAAATTATTCTCCCTGGGCCTCAATTTCCTCATCAGTAAAACGAGGGAGTTAAACTAGGAGATGATTTCTGAGGACCCCTCCGATTCCAAAAAGATGAGTTTATAACCCTAATATTTTGTCATTTTAACTGAGGCAGCCTGGCATAGTGGAGAATGTCACGGTGCAAGGCAGAAGTGATGATGAGAATGATAGCTAACATTTACATAGCACCTACTATGTGCCAGGCACCAATATCATTTTATTTGATCTTCACAACTCTGGGAAGTAGGCCCTGTTATCACCCCATTTGGCAGTTGAGGAAATTGAGGCAAACAGGTTAAGTGACTTGTCCAAGGTCATACAATTAGTGTATGAGGCCAGATCTGAACTCAGATTTTCCTGACTGTGGGCATAATGTCTATTCACTAGCTATCTATTCACTCCATCACCTAGTTGTCAATGGAAGACCTGAGTTCAAATTCTCTTATGGACACATTGGCTACGTGACCTCGGAAAAGTCACTTAATCTCAGATCCAGCAGGCAAAGCTCAGAGGACAGAAGGCTGCTGGAATTGTCGATCTGCTTTGGTGGAGAGTTACCAACCAATACAGCAGACCAGTCACAGCCCTACGTTGTCCTTCAAACCTGATGCCAGTCGGAAGTCAGCTGCCATCACAATGACCCGACAGCTTGCCCAGAGGCCCTCCCTCCCATCACCTTCAGTCACCATCACGGGGCTAAACCTCTCCCTGAAATTCCCTCACCATCTGGCCACACGCCTTCATGAATCTCTTGACTAGGGCCAAAGCAAAGCCAACAGCCCCTGCCCTAATGGAGGTGACGATATGGACAAGAAGGGACACGCCCAAGAGACGGAAGAGATGGAAGGCGGCCTCCTGGGGAAGCGGCACTGAAGGGGAGCCAGGGACTCTGATGAGGCGGGAGTGAGGCATGGGGAGCCGCCAGTGCTCATCCCTGGGGAGGGAAGAGGGAGGACAGACAGGGACCCCAAAGATCCACCCGGCATCACTCTCCTCATGCCTCCTCCTGGGACACAACAAGACCCTCCTTTCAGGCAGTGCAAAGGTGAATCAGAGAGGCCCACACACATACCTGGGCCACACAGAGAGGTGTAGACCAAGGGAGCGATTTTAGGAGGGAGAACATATTTCACGAGGCAGGCAGCCCTGGGATGGGGCCTTGAAGGCAGGGCAGGAACATCTCACATGTTCAGCCAACGAAGGGAACTGAGCCACTGGCGTCCAGGGCTGGAGAAATGTGACAGTCACCAAAGCATTCGAACCACACACGATCGTTTGAGCCAGGGGAAAAGAGGCAAGTAAACATCAGGAGGATTTGTGAATCACAGACTTTGGCACAAGAGCCTGTGGGGGCTGCCTGCCCCAAGGCTCCCCCGGCTCCAGGCCACCCTCCAGCCAGCCACCAAAGTGATCTTCCTGAAGCACAGGCCTGACCACGTCACTTCCTTCCTCAACAACCTCCAGGGCTCCATATGGCCTTCAGAAGTAAATACAAAATATGGTCTGGTCTTCAAGCCCTTCCTCACCTGCCCTCTCCTCCCCTTCTCCATCCTGACACCTGACTGTCGGATACAGCCTCTTCTACCCAGTGACCCCGGCCTGCTGGCCGCCCTGAACAAGCCCCTCCATCTCTCAGCTCCGCCTCTGGCCATCCTCGTTCGTCATCTGCCAGGCCTGGGATACTCTCCCTCCTCCACTGCACCCACTGACCTCCCTGGCTTCCTCTGAGTCCTGACTAAACTTGCTCCTTTAACAGCACCTCCAAGTTAATGATTTCCTACTTATCCTGTCCATAGCTTGTTTGTACATCTCTGCTTACGGTGTCCCTCCCCAGATGGTGCTTAGCACAGTCCCTGACGGACAATAGGTGCTTAATACATGCTTACTGACTGACTGGATAAGCTGGAAAGACATAGGCTAGGCAATGGCAAAGTGGTGAAGATTCAGGACTGAGTGAATGGCCAGACCCAATAAGCAGTGGGTTGAGGTCAGCTGGAGTCTGGAAGACCCGAGTTCAAATTTGGCCTCAGACACCTGCTAGCTATGTGGCACTGGGCAAGTCAGTTAACTCTTTCTGACCCAGTTTCCCCATATATAACATGCGCTGCAAACCTTAAAGCGCTGTTATCGTTGGCGAGGCTGCAGAGGGGATGTCAAGGACCTGTCTTCATCGTGGTGACGTCCACCATTTTTATCAATCACCTCGTTAAAGGCACGAATGGTTGTGGAATCGACAGGTGCCCTGAGAGCTAAGCTGTGGGATGGCATTTGGGATCAGGAGCCAAGAAGAGCTGGTCAGCTTAGAATGATGGACAAAATTCAAGCAAGAATTCAAGAGATAAAGGCCACGTTGTAAGGTTGTGTTCAAAAATACATTCTGTCAGTCCAGGAAGGGGAAGGCCTGGCCAGAAAACCAGCTCGTGAAAGCCACTGGGGGGCTTTTAATGCTGACCAGCTCTGTGTCTGTGTATCCTCTGCCTTGGTCAGGCCTCATCCATGAATACCTACTCCATTGCAGGCATTGCGCTACGCCTCTATAGGACTGTCTCAACCCTTGGAGGCGGGTGCTATTATTATCCTCATTTTACAGATGAGGAAATTGAGGCAAAGAGGTGTTAAGTGATTTGCCACCTGGAGGGCTGTGGTCCAGTCTAGGCTCCACCTTTGGGAAGGACACTGCAAAGGTGGGGAATATCCAGGATGATGAGGGCAGGAAGAGCAGATGACCTGAAGGCCACTGAAGAACCTGGCACTGTTTGGCCTGGAGAAGTTTTTGGTGGGGAAAGGGGAAGGTAGAGACACAGCTCTGCAAGGGGAGTGGGGGAGGTGCCTCCCAGGATGTGGGAGAGGTTAGCCTGTCCTATCTGGCCCCTGAGGAACAAGGGCCCCAAGGCTCTCACACCAAATAAGGGGAGGGTGTGGGCCTTTCCTCCCTGCCTCCCTCCAAGGGAAGGGCCTGGATAAGCCTCCCATGGGGAGGCAAGCAGGGAGCTGGCTGGGGGCAGCTGGTTCCTCCTGGGCTCAGTGCCCTCCCTCCATTCATGACTTCCCAGCTCCCTCCCAACCGGCTCCTTCCTCCTTCCAGGACTCCTGTCAGTTTCGTTTCCCCCTGGAACCGCCCTTGTGAGTTTCAGGGAAGGGAAATGGATTGGGAGGGGAGGGGGGGGAATGTGTGAATATGGATCGCACGCCCGCACGCGTGTGCACACATACTCTCTGAAATGCTCACAATCAGAAACTGACAGACACTAGTCAAACTCAAATGAGATCCTATTAGCAAAAGGCTTAGCCAAATGCCTTCCCCTTCTGACAGATACTCAGCCTCACAACTGATTCCACACACCCTGGCACACGCATTGCTGCGACACAGTCACCCAAACTGTCACACTCACTGAAACACACAACCACACTCAGACCTGGTCACACACCCAGACACACCACTGACACACTGATCCGATCACTCCATCTCACAACTTTCTCAAACCATCACACACAACCGCGCTCAGACCTTGTCACACTCATACACACTCACACTGTCCTGCTCCCACCGTCACACTCCCTGTCCCACTCGTGCACTCACGCCCTGTCCCACACGGCCACACTCACACTCACCGCCACACCTGTGCACACTCAGAGCCTGCCCCACTCCCTGTCCCACTCGTACACACTCACACTGTCCCACACGGCCACGCTCACACTCACCGCCACACCTGTGCACACTCAGAGCCTGCCCCACTCCCTGTCACACTCGCACACACTCACACTGTCCCACTCGTACACACTCACACTGTCCCACACGGCCACGCTCACACTCACCGCCACACCTGTGCACACTCAGAGCCTGCCCCACTCCCTGTCACACTCGCACAGTCACGCTCACGCAGAGCGGGGAGTGGGGGTGGGGGCAGCGTTGCCAAGGGAACACGCGGGGGGCCCCCCCGCCCCCCAGCCCCTTCCGGCCTCCCCCCTTAGCGCCCCGAGCTCCCTCCTGGGGCCCCGAGCTCGAACCGAACCGGCCCGGAGCGGCCCCGCCCCACCCCACCCCGCCCGCCCGGTGGGCGCCTTACCGTCCGCCATGTTGGTCGCGGCCCCTCCCGCGAGCATCGCGAGACTTTAAGCGCGCGCGGCGGGCGGCGGGCGGCGCGGCCCGGAGGCGGGAATTGTCGCGAGAGCAGCCGGGAAGAGGCGGGGCACAAGGGGGAAGAGGCGGGGCACAAGGGGGAA